CAGTACATAATTTTAATCAGTTACGTCATGGAATCACAAGAAACATTCCGTTACGCTACGTCGTTGCTACCGACTACGGTAGGCCATAAATTACGCTATGAAAATGCAGAAAGTCGAGGATAAATAAAGAAACATAAATTTTTCTGTAGGGTACGGTATACGAATCGATTACGCTATAAATTGATACAATCGGAATTGATGACACCATTAAAATCCCATCGGGCAGACAGACAAAATGAAAATCATGGTATTTGAGTCAATCGATTGCCTATCGGATCGATTACGCGCTGAAAATCCTGTTTGGCAGCCAGAAAATCGGTTACGGGATGAAAATGCGAAATTCGACGCCAAAAATGCTCTTAACGAATCGATTACGGTATGAAAATCCTAGCTGCCGGGCAGTCAATCGGGGGTCAATCGATAGAGGTGGATCGTTGCGTACTTGTCGGTGTTTTGGCCGATTTGAAAAGATGTGAATGGCTGGGGAAACATTCAAGGGCTACGCGACGCCACTCTGAACGGATCGCATCGTTCGCTGGGTCACGGTTTTCAGTCCTTAAAATTAGAATTAAAGAGAGCGAGAGCGAGAGAGAGAGCAGAGAGAGAGAGAGAGAGAGAGCGAGAGAGACAGAGGGGAGACAAATGCCTACCGTAAATCCACGGGTTCGATAGCCTTCTCATCCGGATGCGCACTCTTCACATGATCCAGGTACATGCTTTTCTAAAAATGCATTTTCTAGGAGAAAATTAATCCTAAATGGTCTATGCTAGCCTGCCTTTGCCATTTTACATGGTGTAGCCGATTCGTCAAAAAACGTACCTTAAAAAATTGCGATCCACAATGCGGACATCCAAATCGCTTGACCGGATAGTGAGAGATAGCATGAGAAATGAGAGACCCAGACGTCGTGCTCAGCAGACGAGAACATTGCTGGAAAAAATCGGTAAGTAATGATATCGACTTCAATGGTCCTTTAAAATACGTGAAAAATTGGAAATCAGCTGGCGGTTTCGGAAGTTCATCCCGTAATCCATTAGCAAAAGTCTCTCTGCCTTCAATGGCCCTTTAAAATGCTCTAAAGTATCGACTTCTCTTGTTTTTCAGGGTATGCTAAAGCGCACTACATATTCTAGGATTACATCGCGTAATGGGTTGCAAAAAAGTATCGACAAATTTGATTTTGCAGTTTTAGGATACTGTATTCTGATAATACTCACATGACATCTAGCGTATCCATTGGAAGTGGCATTGCTGTGTCTAGCCGTTGACCTCATATTCGCTAGAGAATTTTTATGGAGGCTGAGGACTGATTTCACGATTTCTTCGACGGTTGAGGTGGAGGCCATTCCGTCGAGTTCCACTGAAGAAAGTCACGGTTATTCGAACGGCAAGAATGAAAATCGACATGACACGCTCCCTTTAAAATGTAAAAAGGTCCAGAGACGGGAGAGAGAGAAAAAGAGAGAGAGAGGGGAGAAAGAGCGAGAGAGCGAGAGATAGAGAGACCAAGGGGGAGAGAGAGGTAGAGAGAGAGAAAATGAGAGATAGAGAGACCGAGAGAGAGCGAGAGATAGAGTGACCGAGAGAGAGAGCGAGAGGAGGGAGAGAGAAAGGGAGAGAGACAAAAGATCGATGATAAGCATACACGCCATGTAATTCAGCTAAAAACTAACGTGAACTGTGTGCGGGTGTCGTAAGCGCAGTAGTTGTCGTGGTTGGTGTCTCCATAGGTGTACTTTGTAGTCCAGTTGGTTGGCTCAATGCCTGTACCAATGCTTCAGGCAGCGTTTGAGGCCGTTGTGGGGTGGGTGGGCTTCGACGGATATCCGCTTTTTGTTCCACTGGCGAGGTGGTTTCTGAAAAAGACAAAATTTGATCGCCAGGATACGGTAACGAAATATTTCAAGCTAACAAATAAATTTTGATTTTACAAAAATTAAGAAAATTTTGGATTCTTCGCTTCCACGGTCCTTTAAAATGCATTTTTTCGGATTTCTGAGCATTTTTTACCAGGAAGTTTCGCATGTCAAAAAGGAAATTTACTAAATATTTTAAAATTTTGCAGAGACCGACTTTTCGATTTTTGCCTTCAACGGTCCTTTAAAAATAGTTTTCATTTATTTTATTATTTAGTATTAGTTTATTTATTTAATGTCATCAGTTAAGCTATTTAAAAATAAAGATAATTTTTTAGACCACTACCGAACTCCAGGTTACGCTAGAAAACGTACCCTCGCTTCCCCACGTCTCATTATTCCCTCCTCCAGTACTCGAATTCGACAGTCTTGTCGGGGGCGTCATTAGGGGTGTGCCGTTCTGTGGTGTATCTCGTAGTGGGGGTACTGTGGATGAGGAAGAGGCAGTTGGGGTACTGTAGCCAATCGAATCTTGCCAGCCCTCTGCCCGTTCCGAGAATTTCACATCCGCGAACCCGAATTGGCACTGAAAACCCGTTTTTATACGAATTTCCTGACCTAATTTTACAATTTTATCACGTAACCGGTTAAACTGACAGGCAGGGCAGCAGAAATCGTTTGTGGAATTTTTTGTAATGGTTTTAAAAAGCAAGAAAATCCATTGGCCAGGCACACGGATCTGAAGTCTAATCGATTTCGTTAGCAATTCCAGAAATGTTTCAACTAACCGATTACGACGTAAAAACCCTTGCCTTCCGGGCCTCTTTAAAATCTAGGCTCTGTTTTCCTAACGTGTATTTGCTAGTTGCCTGGCAGTTTAACCGATTACGCACTGAAAAGCTAGAGTCTCACTAACCCTTTAAACCGTTGATAATCGTAAAAAACCAAGAATTTACGCTATTTTGCCCGGCAGCTTAACCGATTACGCTAGTAAAATCGACGACTGCGTCGACTTGACAACTCCTTTAAAATCAAAATCGCGAAACTTAGAAAAACTCTTCGCTAGATCGCGCTAGTTTGCCTTGCGGTGTAACCGATTACGGCATCAAAAAAAAACAATTTTTACCCCAAAAAGCCTCAAAAACCTACCAATAATGCATACAACGAGGGTACATTACACCCCTTTGGCAGTCGAATTATCGCGAAATTGGGTTGAACGGGATTGTGAGAAAGGGCCAATGCCTGTGATAGGGCTATCACATCCATCAGGGTAGAAGGATCTGAAAATGTATTTTAATTTATATTTTAATTTAAATGCACAATTCAGTCACGAAGATATTAAATTACAACATTCAATAGAATGCTGAATTTTCAAGGCACCCGAAGAGTAAACGTGGGCGGCAAGCTAGCAGAGATTCTTGGGGAAAGTGAAGCTTTGACCTGATAGCAGAGAACCTTGGGGAAGTCAAGTCGTGGTCTGATAGCAAAGATTCTTGGGGAATTTTCTTGAGAAGGACGCATTGTTCTCATGCCCTAATAAAAAAGCAAGCCTTGGCAAGCTAGCATTGATTTTTGGATTTTTTGGGCTACCCGTTAGCCACTATTTTTTAAAGGGACGCGAAGATTGCTGGCAGACTAGCAGAAATCATTAGAAATTACGACCACAAAGTCTAAGTTTTTAAAGCATTTTTAAAAAATAATTTCCTTTTTGAAAGGCGCACGGCGGGCAAAATTTGGCCCGCATGCTAGCAGAGAGCCACGAGGAAATCATTGAAAATATCCGACGATTACGACATGAAAATCGGCGCATTCAATACATCGGAAATCCGTCATTTTTAAATTGTTAGGGTCCGAGAGTGACGAGGGAGCAGAGAAAAAGAAATTATATATATAGAAAATATAGTAAACAATTTGGAAAATTGCTAAAATGTGACCGATTTCTGGGCGATTCGTCATCCCCATTTCTCTGCCCACAAAAGTTCAAACAATTCGCCAAATTGCGGCGAGTCATTCTCGGAATTCACCAGTTTATTTTAGCAATTTTACACCGAAAACAACAATAAAAATCCGTAAAATGTCCAAAATTCTCTGCTAGCTTGCCTTCAGCTAAAAAAATGTCTAAATCCTCAAGAATCCCTGCTCGCCCACCCCGTTATACTTTCTGATTGACAAAAAGTCATTCAAGGGTCCATTAGTCATCCCAAGGACTATGCAACGCTCCAAATTACGGGCAAAATAAGTGCGCATTTTCGTGTTCTGGCGGGCTAATTAGCCACCGGGGATTTGGAAGAGAGAGAGAGAGCGAGAGAGAGAGAGAGAGAGAGAGAGAGAGAGAGAGATTCGCTCAAGACATGACACATTGAGCCCGAAATCCCATCTGAATGTACCAGCGCCAGAAGTCTATAATTTGGCGGCGACGGGACCATACTAGAGACGTCTGACCAAAGGGACCTTCAAGGGGCGGGCAAGCTAGCAGAAATGATTTAGGAATCAGAACAGATTATTCAGACCAGCTAGAATTTTTTACAGCCAATTGCAAGCTAGCAGAGATCTTTTGGGGAATTTTGTGAACTTTTCGGCGGACTTCCGAGTACCTTCAAAACGTGTTTTTTTTGACAGAAAGTGCCTCAACTTCTAAATTGACCGACAGTTTAAAGGTTCGTCTAGGCAAACCAGCATTGGCCATTTCGGAAACCGAGAAATTCGAAAAATAATGCCGAAAAATAGGAGGTTGGACACCAGTTTGCAAGATCAAGAGGCAATCGAGCAAAGACCATTTAGCAAAAGTCATAATTTATTTGAAATAATCAATAAAAAGGTGGTTGTGTGTGTGCGGGAGATGAATGGGTGTCTGTGTGTCTGTGTGTCTGTGTGTCCGTTTGGAAGGGGGCATGCTGGCGCCTCGGAAAAGGGGAGCGAATGACTCATCTCTGCAGCCTGGACTGGAGAGAGAGTGGGGAAACAGAGAGAGGCCAGAGAAAACGAGAGAAAAAAAGATAGTTTTCGAAAAAATGGGACATAAAACCAGCCTAGGACCACTTGGAGAGCTCAAAATCTCGATATTTTTGCTAACTGACCTCCAAAATATCGTATTCCAGCTTGGCTACTGTAGCTGTCGGGAAGTTTATCGTTTTATAAACTTAACTGACACCCAAGCTACCGTATCCCAAAAAAATCGGCGTGAGAAAAGCTTATTTTCATGGATTGAGTCGACAAAAATTCCGAAAATTACGCTCCAACGCGGGGGAAAAGGCCGACTGACTCATCGCTGCGATGGGGGAGTGGGAGTGGAGAGAGCGGGCAGAGGGAGAGAGAGATCAGAGATACGGAAAGAAAAGGTAGATCCGTGAAAAAAACGGGGCAGCCGGAAACGCTCTCCGGGGGGTAGTCAGGAAGGGGAGTAAGTAGCTATCTCTCTTTGGCTCTCTCTCTCTCTCTCTCTCGCTCTCTCTTTCTCTCTGTCCATACTCATTACTCTCGCGGGTACGGTAGTTGTTGTAGTTTGTAGCGTGCCGGGTCGCGGCCCAAAAATGACGTAATGTTACGTAACGCATCGTAAATTACTTGGAAAAAATGCCAAAAACGTCCAAACCCGGAAACTAGTGTAGTTTGTAGTCTATAGCTTCGTATATCACTTAACTGTCATCCAGGCTACTATATATAGCTACGAAAAAGGAGATTGCACCGCCTTCCGGGTATGGCATGCTTGAAAAATTGAGGGATTCTGCTTTTTTTGTTAATTTTCATTAATTGACATCTAAAATACCGTATATAAAGTATTTAGGTGCGGGATTACTGTGGTTTTGTATTGATTTGCTTTAACTGTCGTCCAGGCTACCGTATCCGAAACTTTCCGACCTATTTGGCGCTCAAACAAAAATAAATTCCGTCACGCTACGCTCCAAGTTGCAGCAGAAAAGTGTGCGGGTCAGGTGAGAGAGCGAGAAAGAGAAAGAGAGAGAGAGTGAGAGAGAGACAGAGCGAGAGAGAGGGAGAGAGAGAGAGAGAGAGAGAGAGAGAGATAGAACCGCCTGAATACATTGCGTGTGTGTCATCAGCCCATCCCGACCACCCAAAAAATACCTCCACGCCCCTCTGGAAAGCAGGTGACAAATTGGCGGGGGTGAATTTCGAGAGAAAACGTTTGAAGCCTCGGTAAAGTGCCGGGATACGGTAGTTTGGATGACAGTTAGCAAAATAAAACATCGAGTTTTGCGTTCCAAACGGCAAGGGCAAGAAAACAAAAATTTAATGTTTATGGCAGCCAGCTACCGTAACACCAGGTAAAACTATTTTTAAGGGCATACGGTAGCTTGTGTGCCAGTTAGAAAAACAGCAAAATTTGGAATTGATCAAAAATAATCAAGTAAAATCATCAAATTACCGCGCTAAATGCGGTAGTAATGGTGAAACTTTAAAGGGAATAAAAGGTATAAAATCGGCGATGCGCGAACAGGAATTTGTAGTAGCCCGCGCCTTCAAAAAAATTGCACAAAAAATATTCCTAAATTTTACAAAAAAAAACCATTACATTTTTTGATAGCCGACTGCTTTTCCCAAGCTTTTCAAATGTCGACAGAAACTAGCGGAACTTCCTGCGTTTCCGGCCAATTTTGAGCCCCAGCTTTCCATTATCTTGCGACATTCGTTGGATCGGTCGGAGGCTGAGTCATTGTCGAGAGCGAAATAGAGAGATAACAATCTGATTGGAAAGGGGAAAAGCCAAAAAATTACTGAAAAATTCAGGTGACAAATAATTAGCGAGCGAAGCTATTTCCTCCAGAATCTCTGCAAATTGCGTCGATTTTTCCGGATTTAAATTTCCAGCGCCAGCCTGCCTGCCAGCTTTTCAAAATTCCCAAAGAACCTCGGCTAGCATGCCTGGGCCCCAAAGTGCGGGGATTTCTGGGGTCCTTAGGATTCTCTGCCAGTTTGCCCTGCTCTTGCACTAGCCCCCAAATGTTCTCCGCTAACTTGCCCTGCACCGTTTTTCCACCTGCCTTGCCAATCCGCGATCGCCGTCGTCGAAAGATCCATCAAATCCGAGTGTTTGAAGCTACCGTATCCCCTTCAGCATTTGGCGACGAAGTGTGGGGTCCGAAAGGCAGGAGAATTCCAGGCAGCTAGAGACGCAGAGTCGCCGAATACACGGTAAATTCGTTTATAGCGCTTTGTTTTGCTTTGATTCCGGCTTTCTGGATCGCAAAGAATCACTGCTAGCTTGCCCGGACTTCAGAAAGGGGAAATAGTGCGTCCAAGACGAGAGAGTATTAGGTAGCCAGTGAAGAAAAATCTTCAGAATAGCGCAAATATGCTAATTACGGTCCGCCCGTTTAACAATCGGTGCTTTCTGGCTCCCAAAGAATCTCTGCTGGCCTGCTCTAACACGCAGGATTGTGGACAAGGTCTTGGTGGGGTGGGGGTATGACTCACACGCGGCCACTTGTTTTGGCCCACTCTTTTCGGATTCTCCCCCCATAAGCCACGCCCCTTTTTACCTCAGCTGGTGAGAGAAAGAGAGTGGGTGAGAATTAGAGAAATAGACGGCATAAAAGACAAATTGATTCGTGTTTTAGGGGGGCTGCAACCTGGGATGGAGGGTGAGCCAATGATGAGTAAACGACGGCGCCGCGAGGGGCTGAAAAACCCGAAAAAACCTGGAAAAATTGGGAAGGCGCGCTTTTTGTAAAAAAAAAACGAGCATCTTGCGGGCGACTGCTAGTCAGTTAGCAGATCGCAACCTATTAGCTTTTAAAGCGACTGGAAAGACTGACAGTGTCGCGTGAAAATCGCTAAAGGTACCGAAAAATCTAGCTTCATTTGAAAAATCACTAGAAAAACCCATTCCACGTTTGGCAGTTAGAATACTAATCGATTAAAAATTGTTTTTAATAGACTGGGATGCAAAATCCGGTTAAGTTTCAGCCTTGGCAACTCGCCAGTTTTACGGTGGATTCGTCGCGAAATCATTTTTCAGAAGGTATCTCGCTTTTTCAGCAAATTACGTGAGACACGAGGAATTTCTTCATTTTCCATTACCGCTTCTTGGGCACTTTAAAGGCACTGGAAAGTTAGAAGTCAACCGTCCGTCCCATTCAACCGATTACGCTAGCCAATTATGTGGCATAGGATTGTTGCAGAAAGACAAGAATAATGCATCATATGCCTTTCATTAATCCTCGCAATTGTATGAACCGGGGCCGCAAAAAGTGCCGGCTTCTGGCGGTCCGAAGAAGTGCCTGATTTTCACGATTATGATACCAATCGAACGCTCTCGATAAGCCAAGCCAACAAGGGGTTTGTCCTATTCCAGATTTGGCATTTTAATACGGTTTTCGATCGTCGAGAACCGTCAAAAAATCTGTTTTATCCGACGCCCGCATTATTTTCCGTTCCCCGGCCAAAAAATTCTTGGGTTTCTACGAAATCTGCGAACATGGAGTGAATCATAAAGGATTCTAAAAACTGGACGCGCTTGTTTTCTCGCCCGTTTAAAGGCTTTAAAATAGTAGAAAAATCATTCTGATCCCACCCTCCTCCGGACCACTAGAAGGGGGTACTTTTTTAGAACACCGTATTATATTACTGGCAATGCGTTCAAAATTCGAATACGGCTATCGCTGCTCGGAAAACAGTTTTTGTGCTTATTTGCCTGTACAAATTCACCACCAGTGTCAATGTGTCTCGAAATGTATTGTAAAAGTGTTGTATACCATGTATTCCGCGACACTCCGTTCCGTCTCTTTCCGCCCGTCCGTCCACTCGATCCTTTCCCTCTTTTTGGGTACGTCAACAATTCGAAGCGGGCTGTTGGAAAGCGAGTGATTCATTCCCTCCTTTCCTCCCTTCATTCCTCTTTTTCCCTTCCGATACTATGGCAACCTATCCAAAAACCTGCAGAAAAAATCGGGGACCGGAATCAGCTGAGGATTTTTCCGGGGGGTATGGAATTTTTGAGGGGACCGTATTGGGGTGGAATCGAAAATTTGTGTCTAATAGAAATTGAATGGCGGTATTTACGAGAAGCGCAAGGGAAGACTATGGATCTCGACTAGAGGTGCGCTCACAGTAAAGTGTTTTTACTCAGGCTGGAACTTTGAAATGAAACCTAGCCTACCTTCTGCAGAATTTTGCGCTGATTCCGAATATCTGGGAGATAGGCGTTGGAGAACAGAAGAATATGGATTTCAGATGAGGTATCTATAATTTTTCTGGCCGTTCTGACATTCAAACCGGTTCTGAAAAGCCAAGGGTCAATTATCTGTTTATTGATTATCCTCCGAAGCAGAGAATGACGTTATATCAATTAGAAGTAACACTAGTCTATAAGCATTTCAACAAATTAGAATCATGTATTATCAGTTCTTCTCATTCCATCGGGCTTGGAATTCTGGGTCGTTTTCTGTCTGGTTCTGTTTCACAGACTATGCCACTCCTTAATGCCTCCCATTCTTCCGATTTAGTCGTCCTAAAGCAAAATGTTGAGACAAAGGCTAGCCAAACTCACATGATTTCATTCCAAAAAGCGTTGATCAACGGCTGCATCACTTTGGGTTCGACGGCACCTTCTAATTAGGTTGATTGGTCGACGAATGAGGGCTTACCAACGTGATAAACAAAACAGTACTTGTTGTAATAATCTCGGATGGCGCCGAGCATCGGGGTTAGGTCGGAGAGTCGCAGAGGTACGAATCGCAGACACTTGGCCATATTATCAGAATAGTCGAGCAGTTCCAAATTCTTGGTGATGGCCTTAAACTTCGGCGCCCATCCATCATATTGGAATAGTAGAGCATTAGAACAGTCCTCTAATTCCAACAACGCGAAAAGGAACTTCGATTGTCTTGGTTTGACCTCGATCTCTGTGAGCAGCGCTTTCGCCAACTCCTGCCACCAAATGGGTGCTCGAACCTTCCATTGGAAAATGTATTGCAGGGCGCGGGTTATCAACGTATACTCTTCAATATAGTCGATTTGAGCCGTTGTTGCACATTGATATACTTCGACACGGAACTCAGGTGCCACTGTTTTTGGAAAACCACCCCCTTCGACAATGCCGCATTTATCTTTATGGCATTCATGACTCGGAGGGATGCCGTTGAGAAAATAATATCCCGGAAATGGTTGTCCTGGAAATGCATCTATTTTATCCATCAAATCGAAGCGATCCCCGGTTTCGAAAGCAAAATCAACTATCATTGCGATTAGCTGCTCATTATCATCACGGCTCCTCAGTTTTCTTTCGAGATGCTTGCCGGCTTCGATTAATGCCCGCCGAATCTGCTCATTATCCAATGGCTCAATGCCACTATTCAATGGCTCATCGTCACTTTCCGAACCGTCAGAAAATTCTGCACGCGGTTTGTATACGCGAGTTTCGGAACAATCTTTCCGTAGGTACGCTCCAGCACCTTCAATTATGAACCATGAATGTCGTGAGCCCTTAATGCTCCCAATACCGTAGATTGCTCTAACTGTAAATAGTTTCCCCAATTCTTCAATATCATGGACAGTTTCATTGAGTAGTCTTAAGATATCCGATTGAGCAAGTGCTCCCCGATCCACTTCAGAGAGTACCCACACCCCAAAAGCATGCGCCTCGTTTTGATGCCACCGATCTCTCTGAACCAGCATCATGTATGTATCAAGGATGCCCGCTATCGGCCCTGGCACTTTTTTGTCCCGAATTTTTGGCAACGGCAACTGTTTTTCATGGCCGAGTAGTTTAGGAGCTTCTACTTTCCAAAATATATCCATTTGTTCTGCGCATTTATATTGATCCTCAGTCGGAAGCTCCGATAACATGATGAGAATTCTGTCGCACAGCTCCTTCCTGTTCTTTTTGCAGCATTCATGGCCAATGCCTGTACATCCTTTGGTCTCCCAACCGTCTCTGCAGAGCCATTTGTCATCTGGAAAAATACGTCCATCGAACGCGGTAGGTGTCTCCAGCTTCTCTTTCAGTTCGATAAGTAGTCGTTCGCTAGAGCTGGGAATTTCCCTCGATTGTTTTTTTGCCGTCCTCGCGTCTATACTTGACGTCAAGGGACTGCCAGGCGGGGGTGTTATGTTGTAAGAATGCTGCGAAGCATCGCTGCCCACGGGACTTAATCCAATCGGCGGCTCGAGCCTTTTGCAGAGCCGGTCTGTATCTGGCTTCGCACCAAACTTCCTAAACTCCTGTAATTTTGTCATTAAAATATTGGAATCCAGGGTTTACCTCTACCAATGTTCTGCATAGCACGAGTGCCTTTTCCACATCCAAACGTTCTTTAACATTTTGATTAGTACATCTGTCATAATGTATGGCAGATATTGACGATAACTCGATAACCTACCCTACTATGAGCATGTTAAGTGTCGCCAAATGCGGTCTGTCCTTCAATATTTCGTCTATACCATTGTTTCCGATGCAACTTTTTCCCACGCTAAAAGGCATAAATTTCCGAGATAGCTGGTAAAATTTGCAATGAATATTTGTTAAAGGCCTCTGGAAAGATGGGATTGGTCAAAACGCAAGAAAGGGCGCACCGGGCGGGGGTCGAACCAGGGATGGTCCGCTGAGCAGTCCAACGCGCTACCCCCAGACCAAAGGGGGCGAGTGGGTTGGGGCGGCGGAGGGGCCCCAAATACCCTAGGGGTGCATTGGTGCGCTTTACTGGGCAACAATTGAAAATAAAGCTATCCATAAATAATAATAACAAAAAATGCTATAGAAAAGCTTGCTAAAGGAAAGCAAAGGATTCCCCATGTTCCCTGGAGTGTTTTATGCCCTTACTGACGATTTTTCAACTAAAGTGTGTCCCAGAAACCTCTTTCCGCTCAGAACATGGCTGTCTTCTATCCAATCAGCCTCAAATTTTTGCCATCGATGGGGATGGCTAAAGACTATTTCTATGGAAGTTTCGGGCCAAAAATATCGTCAATCAAAAAAGTTATAGCTATAAATCTGTTTTCTTGAAACCCAGACGGGGTTTTGGGGGCTCTTACGCGATGGAAAGCGTGCATGGTATCGCCCCGTCGGCCCCTCACCCCTGGGGACGCCCGGCCATCTTTCCAAGGGTCTTTAACTGCCGGTACTGTCTGGCCCTGCGTGACGGTCCTACCTCCTGCTAACAATATCCAATACAACCCATCCAGCGCTATAAATATCACATTTATAGACGTCCTAAATTGGCTCGGTCACAAAAACGTTGCGCAATCACCTCGCCATCCATTTTTCGGCCGCCAAAAACCTCCGGCGCCATATAGCCACGCGTCCCTCCTCCGCCATATGCCGTAGTTTTCATATTTCGAACAGATCCAAAATCGCCCAATTTCAGCGTGTAATCATGGCCATAGACAAATATACTGTACAGAGTTGTTAATTCTTTGAATCAGATGATCGAATCACTTATCCGGCTTGACATCATGGTGAACCAGTTCCTTGCTTTTGATATATTCGAGAGCGCTGAACAGCTCTGTCGACCATTGCGCGATCGTCGCCATAGAATAGACTATGTTTGGATTTCTCAGTACTAAATATTTGGGGGGCTGAAGTATTATAATTAGAAGATGCTACCATCTTTTAGCGATCCATGCTCGCAGTATTCCATAAAAATCAGCCGTTCACACGAATCGTTTGCTGAATAATTGTGCGGCTGATCATAGTATCTGACGACATACTCGTGTGACAGTTCCTAAATAACGGTTTTAATTAGTCCTAAACGTGCGCCTAATTGTAATCCCGGATAAACCCGGACTCAGAATCGCTGAAATAATTTGATACTAGAATTCTCTATCAGCGAGATCACAAAAAAAATAGATTAAAGGGTCAAAATAAAAAAAAATAACGACAGCATGACGAACACTAAAATATAAGTATCTCGATTTTTAAAGATCAGTAGCAAACTCGAAAAACGAGGTGATGTTCAGCGTGGTCGATTCTAGCTGTGTGCTAAGTTTCCGCCAATTCCGAGTACGGGTTGATGCGGGTTCCCCTACTCTGCCAGCACGACACATTTGAGACACGCTTCAAAAACCAAGTGTGACCCATGTAGATTAAAGCTCTGTGTCACACGAGAGGCTCACATGTGGGGACATATGTGTCTCTCCTACATGCGAGCCACGCGTGTGACACAGAGTCCATTCCCGGGGTGTCCCCAGTCATTTCCCCCGCTTTCGGGGAAATGACCGAGGAGCCCGGAAATGGCCACCCACCCCCACAAATCATTGCAAATACATTGGGTTGTATACCCACAATAAAACCAATCAAGTGCACAAAAAAAGGTATACTTTATACCAAAAATTACATTAAAAGCAAAAGAAAAAAAAGACTTGCGTATCCGCGTCCTCCGTCGCCATTTCGTTTCGCCCTCTCGATGGCGGCGTCATTCAAAACAGTCTTCGTCGAGCGGGCCCACACCTTAAAAAAATCAATAATTCCACACACAAATATTAAAATTATATTTCTAAGCGCCAAATGGCAACAGCTACGAAATATAAAAACAGAAATACCTCTAGGCCGTTTTGACGATGAAGGGTGGGGCGCAAATCATCAATTTGCCCGGGGCAGCACTAAAAAATGCAATTCTTCGTGAAAAAAACACCAAATACCTGGAGTAGTAGCGCCGCGTGCAATTCGGGGTTGTTTGATGCCCGTGTCCTGGACCACGCCCGAATACCTACAAAACGAAAAATAAATATGAAAACTAAAAAAAAACATATACAAGACAATTTTTCACCCAGGAAATACAACGTCCCGAATTTAAAAAAGAAAAATGGGCACTGTTATCCTTGGCGTGGGCAAAAATCTACGCCGGGGGCAATTTTCGGGATTTTTTTCGGGGTTCTCTCTTTGAGTTTTCATAGAACATTGAAAAATATACTAAGAGTGTCAATTTCCCGGAATAATGAAAATTATAAAAGCTATGCAAAAAGTTCTTTGATTTAGCCCCGACGTAGATTTTTGCCCCCAGCCAAATAGAAACAGTACCGAAAAATCACCTCGCAATGGTGGGCCGAGGAGATGGGCCGCTCCAGCGAGCAGGAGGCATGCGGGCGTTGAAATTGCGCCAGTCTCCTGCAAAAAAAACTGTCAATAATAACCCGGAAATACCTTTTAAATCCATTTTGAGCGGAACACGAGCTCCGCATCAGCACAGTTCGTCGAGTCGCGAAAATTTCCTGCAAAAAACGGTGCGCGGGTTCCACGCACGAAAATCTACTGGAAAACGTAATCCCAGCGAAAAAAATCGCGAAAAACCCGGGGACTACGACACTTCCGCACATAGTCGCGTTTTTGGTAAAAGAAACTAGATCATAGGCCAAAAACGTCAAAGATTACGACAAACGTAGCGCATGGATGTCAATTTTTGTCGAACAGCCCCCGATTTGGCCTAAACATGAGTTTGGAAACGACAAAACCGACGAATACAAAAGTTGCGGAAGTGCCATAGTCCCAAAAACGAATTACGTACCTGAAAAGTGGGCTCCGGCAACCGCAATTCCCGTCTTGATAGCGTTTCCATGCCGTTTCCATTCACTCGTCACGCGAGCCGTCGATCACAGCGCATTTCCTAAAAACTTCTATCGAAATAATACCTTTATCTGTGAAGATTGGTTCTCGCGCTTCTTCCCGACAAAACGATGCGCTAAAACAAACAGTTTGTTGGAAATAATATCAAGAAAACGCACCTTTCGCCACGCGCGTACCAATTTCTAGCGGTCGACGCACCTGTGCCGTCGTTTTCATTATGTTGCAGCGCCGAGGCTACCTGAAAATGCTGAAAGTTAGTCGGCAAACGAAATTAGAGGCAAAGAATGCAAGATCAAAAGCGATATGCATCGTAGAGCATAAGAAAAAGAGTTTTTACTAAAGAAAATGCCATAAAACCATGCTATCTTCGAGTTTTTACGCATTTTGGCAGCGAAAATGAGCATAAACCACGTCAAGATGCTTCAATAATACTAATTCATAAAAGAAAACGAAAGAAACGACAAAAACAAACACTTTTTTATTAAAAATTACGGTCAAAAACAGTATTTTTTTTCTAAAAATGGCCAAAACTTATTGTGTGAAAAGCACGTTATTCCAGCGTTCGTAGTAGCGCGTCGTACTCGACATCCATTCCGGCCGGGATCCGTGCCGCCCCCGTCATAAACCCTTGAAAAACGAAGCAATAAACAATTCCTGAGTGCCTGTAGCCCTCTGGTGATATTTGGGATGAAAAATAACTTTTATAAAATTTTGTATTTTTGACCCAAAAATTTGCCTAAGTCCGGGCCACATGTGTGGCTCGAGTCCAGTCCGGGACACTTGTGTGGCTCGCGTCCGGTCCGGGGTGGGACATGTGAGACACGGCTAACGTGCGTGGCACACATGTTTTTGGCCGTTCATATGTGTCTCGCGGCCATTTTGGGCCTCGCTCATATGTGTCTCGCTTATAGGGGTCAAAAACACGTGTGTCTCGGCTATTAAGCGAGACACAAATGAAACGTGCTGGCAGAGTAGTTAGAGCTAGGCCTAACAAGGGAACCTCACGCGGACAGGATGGAATATCGAAAAACGCTCACGGCTACCCCTAGGTAATCGACCATTGCGATCAAGATGCGCTTGTCAGATTTTTCTGAATGCACCTGTGGACAGAGATACACCACTTCCGGAAAATGATGATTTGCATGTGAAAAATTAGCATCGAGGGATGGTTTATTAGGCTCTCCCATCACTATGGAATCACCAGTTGAATGGCCAAGTGGTAAGCGACTCGCTTGATAGGATTATGACCAGGGTACGGACCCGCTCACGGCTTTTTCGTTTTGCTTTTTGGCCAGCGATTTTTGGCAGAAGTCCAAAATCATATGTATTTAAGTGCTTACCACGTTTATAGGAGTTGTGCATACGCCGAAGTCAAAAGATTGTTCATTCAAAATTTTACCTTTTTGGCAGAAAGATGTGGGAACCACCAGCCGGAACATCCAATTTTCTTTTTTCGAATTCTTTATCTTTACGGCTAGTCATGAAATACAGCGCAAAGTTCGGTTTTTACTAATGGTAGTAACATTCTGGACTTGTGCAAAAATCGCTGGCCAAAAAGCAAAACGAAAAAGCCGTGAGCGGGTCCGTACGCTGGTCATAATCCTATCAAGCGAGTCGCTTACCACTTGGCCATTCAACTGGTGATTCCATAGTGATGGGAGAGCCTCATAAACCATTCAGCTATGCTAATTTTTTGCATGTAAATCAGTATTTTCCGGAAGTGCTGTATCTCTGTCCACAGGTGTGTTCAGAAAAATCTGACAAGCGCATCGTGATCGCAATGGCCGATTACCTGGGGGTAGCCGCGAGCGTTTTTCGAAATTCCACCCTGTCCGCGTGAGGTTCCCTTGTAAGCGTACCTTCAGTGTTCGTAGCTCCCTCAAATAGACCTCATAGTCATCCGTTCCTATCACTTCCTTCATTACCATTGGTCTGTGATGGCTAACTACGAACAAGGAAAAGCACTTACGGATCCGTATCAAGGAGCCACACTTGACCAAACCCACCGCGGCCCAGCGATTTCTTCTCCATCCTGAAAATCACTTTTGCAAACGCTTAAACCAAAGCCAAATTCAAAAACAAAACGAAAAAATTCGAAGCAGCTTGGCAGGAAAGTGAGCGCTTCAGCCCGTGAACAGAATATAGATAACGGGCGGGTGAACACTTGCACAAGAGATTCACCAATCGATAGATTATTTCCGGAGACGACCCTCATTTGAAGCTATTGGGTTGAGCCGAAATTCTTAACAATCAAGCTTCGGAAATTTCTTTCTAAATATTTTGCGGACCATCACGGTTGTTTCTTTTTTCCCATTTATCTGTGGAGTTCAAAAGTTTGTAGGATAACAGTTACAATAGCCCCTGTGATTTTTATTATTTTCTGCGTTTTCCTGAGGTTTCACAAATTTCAGACCCAAACATCGTTCAGAAGTTCCATAAAGTTACCATAGGTACCATCTAGCGACTGGTTCAGTGCCGAAATATGCAAAAAAGTAAATCGCAACAGTTTTGTGAACGGCGGGTTGAAACCATCTTTCATTTTCCAGCAAATCAAAATTGAAAATTTCTAGAGGAAGCAAGGGGTCGGATAAAACCTTTTATTCCTGAACTGTTGTCTGGACCAACAATATACAGAGAATGAAAAAATATCGTACGAGCTTTACGAATATTGTGCGCGAGTTTCTGGGACGCAACCCAATATTTGCGTCCCAGAAACAGCCAACGAACGATAAAACTAATGACGCCTGCGGCGAGAGCCGCAAGGATTTTCCATTAATTTTACGCAATTCAATTGATCTAAAACTCCAAAATTTGATACTGAATGCTTTCAACCCCTTTCCTCGGCCATCCGAACTTTCCACTTCACTCCAAATCCCGTCAGACGAAACGTGCGTCCTGGTGAAGGTCAGAATTCCCTTCCGAAATTCCTCCGTCCACCCCTGGGTTGAATGCGTAATTAGCAGCTTGACGTTTCGGCCTTTCCAGAACTCCTTTTTAGCCGCAATTTCCAGATTCCAGGATTTTCCCACGCAATTTACCGTCTCTTCGATACTTTTTACCCACTCTACTTCCGTCCAGCCTTCAGAAGAATTGATAAGATCCTAAAAATATCCAAAAAAAAACATTGGTAGCCTGCTCTGCGCAAATTCCTCAAAAATCTCCGCTACCTGCTTTCCGAAAATTCCTCAATTAACTTTGCTAGCTTGCTTTTGTATTTTCTAAGTAACCGCTGCTTGCTTATCTTTCCCGAAATCCTCAAAAAATCTCCGCTAGTTGTCTTTCCAAAATTCCTCAAGGATCTCTGCTGGCGTGCCATGCAAAATTACGTTAAAATTCAGCACAGTTTATTCGAAGAAAAACACCATTAGATCATTAATCACGCAAAATAATAATGATAAATACATTGCAAACTCGGAATAAATATGTATTCGGGGGGTGGAAATGATAGAATTGGAGACCCGTAGAGGGGAGACGGGAGGGGGATGGATAATACAAAATAAGGAGAGAGGGAGCACAGAAAAAACAGCGAAAAATAGAGGAGCAAAATGGCAAGTCCAAGTTCGGCAAAAAAAGTAAAAAAATTGTGATTATAGCAAAGGAACCGACCAAAAATTACATGTCGTAATCGTTTATGAAGTGACCGTCAGGAGACGGCATTTTGATGTAATTTTGTCATTTTTTTGAGTGGAATGGCTAAACTGACTGCCGGCTGACTGACAGTGAGCTGACTGACCGCAAAAATCGCGAAAAATTACATGTCTTATCGAATATGGTAGTCTGGCTGGCAGATTGCATTACGCTATTTTGGGTTGAATGTTGTCATTTTTGAGATGGAAATCGACAAACTGGCAGTCAACTAAGCCAGTGAACCAGAAATATGCAAAAATTATACGCCGTAACCGATTACGGTAGTCTGACCGGCAACGGTTGTCAGATTTCTAAAATTGGAGAAAATAAAGGATTAAATTCATCGAGTTTTACAAATGCGTCGCCGTGACAGCCTTTGTATGTGCTTCCGATCCATCGGAGAGCCCGAATAATTTCCGGCAAATCCTGGCGCGGTACTGTGGGAGGACGGTTACGGTAAGCACCGGGTTCACCACCTGAAAAACAAAATTTTGATTTGTACTAATCGTTTGTTAGCCAGTTAGTCGGTTAAAGGCTCCAGGAAGTGCGAAAATCCACCCCCGCATCCACTAGGTCTCGAGAACCCGATTCTAGTATTTTAGCGTCGAGGTTTTGTCGAGACCTAGCCGAAACAAGGGGTCGATCCGGACGGTGCCGAGTTCTTTTAAAGCCTAAGGACATACCGCATTGAGTTGCACGAGGTACCACATGATCCACAAAAATAGTAGCGTAACGCATTGGCTCTGGCCGGTGGCCGGGGAGATTAGACGCTTCATATCTGAAAGAAAAAAGTGATGTTAAAATTTAAATAGATAAGCATTTAAAACCTATATATAGATAAAATTGGAAATTTAAATAGATAATAATTAAAAATTAAAATAGGTTAAAACTTACTTATCACTCGATACGGTAATAATGTGCAGGCGGTGAAAATCGTCGTCATAAAGATGAAATAGAATGTTCGGAGGCGAGAGGCGAATGTTTGATGCGTGTGGGGGCCGCCGTTGTTGTTTCCGCATAGGGTTTGCTCTGAAAAAAAAATCGGGTTTTTTTCTCGTCCCAAATGATTTCTGCTATCTGGCCCATAATTGCGAGATTTTCAAACATCCTATTAGACAATTCAGCCAATTCCTAAAGAATCTCTGCTAGCTTCCTTGCTATTCCCTTTAAAAGTTAAAGGTTGTAAAATGCTTACCTTCAGAGAGTTGCTTCTTGTGCATGGAGACAATTTTGAGAATGTACAGCGCGACTCCCAGTGAAGTGAGGGTGGGCAGGATACAGACTCCAATCTGGAAAAATCGCATAAATAAATATCGAAAAACGTAAAGGAATTTGGCAAAAAAAAAAAAACTAGAAAAGCGCCTATAGAATTTCGCTTCGACACCCTTTACGATCCAAAAATCTTACGGTAAATCCAATGTACATCCCGGTATTTCCGTGGAACAGCTTCAGCGTTAGGCAGTTATCCGGGCCGCAGCTGAAAAAAATGGTTTTTTAGTGTTTATTTTGAATTTATTGAAACGTCGTTTTGATTTTAAATGCCTAAAAATTCTGATACTTTTCGGGTGGGCCCATTTCATTTTCGGTTCTTCACGAGTATGGGAATTTTTGCCGTTCCAACACCTTTAAAGGGGCGTGGAAGGCAAGGCTTCGGGTTTGTGGGCCATGGATTCGCTATGGATTTCGCAACAACGCCACGCGCAACGCACGCGCGTAATCGATTACACCCAAACACGGCGGTCCAGCGACACGGCGCGTTGCGTGTCGCGGACAGGAAGAATTCAGTACAAATCTCGATAGATTTCCTTGAAGGTCCCTTTAAAACTCTGAAAAATTAAGAATTTGACGCGGTGAGATCATTAAATTTCACAATTTTGAATTTTTTACTCTAAAAAAGCAATTTTGGCCAATTTTTTCAAGTTAAGACCATTTTTCACCCCCGGAAAACTGGGTAAATCACGTGCGTACCCCTGTGAATCTGTTAATAGAAGAAACCCGCGTGATCCCCCTGCCGCGGACCGGATTCGCCATTTTGGGGGTGGATTATCCGGGGGGAGATTGGGTCGTGGATAATCCCACGAAAATCTCATAGAAAAACGTTTCTTCAGGGGGAGATAAGAACAGAATTGTGTTGTTTGTTGTCAGGTCCATCGTTTCTATAGAAAATTCCGAAACAATACGCCCCGAACGTACGGGCGGAGTGACGCGGAGGGGAATTAGTCATTAAAGGGAGGGGAAAGGCAGGGCAATATATTCTCTGACTATGGATTTCCTGTGGGTTTTCACCGCCTCACCGCGACACGCAACGCGCCTTACCGCGACACGCAACGCGCCTCACCGCGACACGCAACGCGCCTCACCGCGGCACGCAACGCGCCGCGCCGCTCGTGCGCGTAAACGCGTCGTGATGAATTAATTCTGAAACAATACTTAAACGCACGAACGTTGCGTATTGCAAAGTCCAGAAAAATGTTTAGAGACTCCAAGGCGGGGGAAAATCCCTAAGAATCTCTGCTAGATCGCCGAAAACCGTTCTTTAAAGGGCCTAGCAAGGAGAAATCGTAAGATCGTAAGGAATAAAAATACGTCATTTTTGGATTTGAATTTGCTTAGGATTTTGGTAATAATCCTAAAAAATTAAAATATAAACTCACTTGAACGATCCGGTCAGCCAGGCAGCTAACACAAACGAAAAACACGCGACCCAGGTGGCCACCACGATGCCGATGCCCTTGGATTTTGAGACGACCGCCGAGTAGCTAAAAAAATTCATATAACGTTTGGTTGTAAAACTTGTTTCTTAGAAGTAACAAAAATTCTATTAAAAACGGAAATTTTAGGCTAAACTTGTAAACTGACCTGAGCGGATACTTAAAATACAGAAGTTTATCCAAATTGAGTAGAATCAGGGAAATGGACGACGTGGAGAGGGAGGCCCACGTCAAGAAATGCATCATCATATTCACCCAGGTGGGGGCGTAGCCGATGAAATGTTGAATGATCTCCAGTGGGTAGCAGAACGCTGAAAAATAAAATTAAAAAATATAGATAAATTATTTTAGAGGCAATCGGAGTTAATTTAACCAAATATCTACAGAAATGGCTCCTTAAATTATTCCAAAAATTTTAAACATGATTTGAAATAAAAATGTCGACATTTCTAGGCAGATCCGGATTTTTGAGAAGGGCAAGCTAGCATAGAAAATGTGGAAATCTTGATTTTTTTTTTGCTTACCTGTCAAAATCAAGTCCCCGGCAGTCATGGAAAGAAGAAATAGGTGAAGACATTCATCGCTGGCTCTTCTTCTCAAATGCGAGAGGGCAGAACGGATGACATAGACTTGCAGGAAGGATGATACCTGGAACCATTTCAGTAAGTTTGTAATCTTTAAAGCTGTTTCTATAATTCAGAGTGCTTCCCGGTCCCTTTAAAAGTACCAAAAGGCTTGGAGAGTCTACCCCTCGTATCAACTAGGTCTCGACAGCCCCGTTTCGACCAATATCACGCGTGAAATCGGATCTTTTCGTCTATCAATGCTTCATTTGGATCGTCACGTACTTGTCGAGACCCAGCAAATTAAAAAGGTCGATTCCAGGGCGGTTTAGCCGTTGTAAACGCAAAAAACCACTCACAATTGACGAAAGCAACATGATGACGTCGGCCGCATTCAGGAATTGGTCGACTGTCACGTCGGTGATCATCTGGAATGCAAAGTATGTACGCTAGAAAAATTGTCGAATAGTATATATTACGCTATCAAATCTTAATCTTCTTGAAAATGCAATCGATTACGCGACGAAACGAGCACCTACGCCTCCATTTTCTCGCGTTCAAAATGCGAAAATTCTCACCCCGTTGACGATACATGCCGGACCAGGCTGTGAGGTCGTGTTGTTCATTTTCTGCAAAAAAAATCTATAACTAGATTGTCGAAAAAATTTAGCGATTACCGCATCAAATACAGCAAAAAGAACACGACAAAACATAAAAATCCGGAAAATCCAGGAAAAATGGAAAAATGAATTCATGAAAAATTTGGAAAACACAAAATTCTGTGATGCGATTACGATATCAAAAAAATGACATGGACAAAGTAAAAAAATCATAAATCATACTCCCTAAAAATCAGAAGAAACCGTTTGCGGCATGAAATTCAGTGGATGAGGAAATGATGAAAACTATCGGATTTGCGCCCATTCAGGCTGCAGAAAACAAAAAGGGACGATTCGGACTTGGGGAGAGAGAGAGAGAGAGAGAGAGAGAGAGAGAGAGAGAGCATAAGAGAGAGAGCATGAGAGAGAGAAAGAGAGACAGAAGACTAAAATACAGAAAATACATATAGTCTGTAATTATCGGAAAAACGCGGAACGGGTGAATTGAGGGTTGTAGTGTTGCAATATCGGATGAGCAGCAGGAAGCGGAAGTCATAGTTAGAGAGAGAATCAATTTTTCGAGCAAAAATATAGGTGTTATTCGTCGATTTGTGTGGGATTATTGGTAGGAAAAGAGCGGAGTCGAGGGGACAATAGAAATGGACGTCAATATTCCATGATGACTTGTCGTCCATTGTATTCAGACGGAATATTATGAGCGATAGAGTGAGCGAAAGAGAGAGAACGAGAGAGAGAATGAGAGAACGAGAGTGAGAGAGAGAGCGCGTGAGAGAACGAGAGAGAGAGCGAGAGAACGAGAGAGAGAACGAGAGTGGGAGAACGAGAGAGAACGAGAGAGAACGAGAGAGAGAGAGAGAACGCGACTGAGAGAGAGACATACACGTGTACAGACAGACAAACGGAACCATCCAAAAGAAATTGAAAACCAATAAACTTCATTCACAAGCTCAAACTCCCCAAAAATCCATCAAAACGGCTAGCAATTATGGGAATAGTCAGACGGTTGAGAGGAAAAAACAAAAAGGGATGGCTGTATTTTCGTGGGAAAATTTGAATCGATACTCCCGTTTAGTTGTCGCGAGAAAATATCGGAGGCAGACAGGTATATTCTCACCCACAAAAAATAAAGCGCCGCGGAATACAGAACGGATAATAAGTAGAAAAAAAATGTTCATGAATCCGGTTTTCAAGGATGCAGAGAATTATTTTTGAAACGCAGTTTGGGCTCACCTAGCGAAGGGACTTTGTGGAAAATCAATTTACAAGGCTTTTAAGTTCTTAAAAATGTCGCCGGTGCACATATTTTACTATCGAAATCGAATGCGAATTGCCTTTTTATTTTGATCCCCTCCCCCTCAATCCGACACGGAATTAAAATGGCACGATTTTGAGGCTTCGTGAGATTCATGACGTGATCTGATACCATAATTACATGTCGTAATCGTTTCCGCAATAACGTGTCGTAATAGAATCTCAAAATCGGAACTTACGGTAGTTAAGGCAAACATACAAAATAATTCCGAGCTGGACCCGCTTATCTGGCATCCACAAAGTATTTTGAGCACAAAATTAAGAAAAAATCCGCCTCTACAGTAAGTTAGCTAATAACATGCCGTAATCGAATATTCCAGAAAAGCTAGATTACGGTAGTTCTAAACAATATTTTTAAATTTTTAAAGCATAAATCATCCATCTGGCCGTCACTAAGCTTTTGGGAAAAATACATAAAACATAGCTACCGTAACCCGTGAGAATTATATGCGTAATCAAATATCAAAAATGCGCAAAATACGATAGTGCTAAAGAAAGTTTTTAAATTTTGAAACAATAATGAAAGATCACTATGCTTCGGCAAAAAATCCGAGAAAAGAGCTACCGTAGCCCAAGAAAATTACATGTGGTAATCGAACATTCCAGAAAAGCTAGATTACGGTAGTTCTAAAAAAAATTTCTAGATTTTTAACGCATAAATCATCCATCTGCCCAGCATCACGTGCCCCAGCGAAATTTCGCAGGCGTGATGGGACCCATTACCGTATGCCAGAGGGTCTATGGGAGACAGAATGGCCCCCGGAAATCACGATTTCCTGTCGGGACCCCGCAAAAAAATTGGAGAAAAGGGGAAACGGGCAACATCGAGCTGTGATGGGTGGACACATCAACAAAATGGACCCCTAAGGATCCTTGGCCGGATTTCGCCGGTATTCCGGAAGAGGGGAAGGGATGGGGGAGAGCGGATTATAGGGGAAACGGATGCCGGGTGTATACGGAATTAATAAACCCCCAGGTATACCCAGAAAGTGAGAAGCCGGATCAATTCTCGACACGGAAATATATATTCTGAATGACCGTATGGGTCTTGAGCTCAGAAAAAAAGCCTTTCCTGAACCGAAACGAACCGAACTGAACCAAAAAATCTCTGAAAAGTCGACGGGATGTTCAGATATTCGTAGAAAAATTGTCCAAAATTCGCTGTCACGCTCCCTTTAAAACGACGTCACTTTTTTACGGTTATGCTAAAGTAATATCCCGTTAAAAATCGATTCGAAACCGGAACTCGGCATTCTGACCGACGTCTCGCAAACTCGCCTTCCGGAAACGACCGGTCGACCGGACACGGATTTTCTTGATGAATTTTGCTGTCACGCTCCCTTGAAAAAGCGATCCGAAACCGGAATTCGATAGATTCTGAACGAAATCTACGATCTTCAAATAGAAAAATCCGTCCGGAAAGACCGTTTGAGTTGAAACCGGCCGGAATTGCACCGTAAACGGGAATCCGATAAAAAATTGCTGTCACGCTTCCTTTAAAACAAGTGACTGGCCAAAATATCGGCTTTTAATGACCGCGCGTAGGTTGAAATCAAAAATAGGCTTTCGGGGATCGGTTTCAAACGCAATTTCTTCCCAAAATTTTGTGTCAATGTCGCTTTAGAAAAGCTTATACACTGAGGAACCGATCGGTTCTAAATCTGAGAAAATCCCTTCCGGCAACCGAGCGGCCGATCCAGGTCAAGCGAAAATCAACCGGGTGTCCAAAACCCGAATTCCCAGTTGGCCACGTGCCAAATTGATCAGTTGATTTTTCCTACACCCACCCTAAACAAAGTGTGATTCTCGGGATCAATCACCACCAACAAGAAAAAGTGATGTTTTCAGCCGGGAGTAGTATGGAGGGCGGCCAATAATTTCATTCTGAGATTTTTCTGAAAGACGGAGAGCAATTTTGAGTCGACTAATTATGAAAGTCGCGAATTCCAGTGAAATTGAGTGGGAAGCGAGCGAACAAATTGTATCATATGATTGCGAAATTCTTCATCTCGATTTTATATAAAATTAAGCGACATAAAAAAATTAAATTCGTTTTTAAAGGGATCAGCAAGGCAGGGGGCTATGGATTTAGGCGTTTTCCACGACACGCGACGCGCACTTCAGAATTCCATGGCGTAATCGATTACCAATTTGTTCCGTAAGCTGTGATAATTTCATGACGTAATCGAAGTCCAAATGGCGTGAAATTACGCCAGTAATGGCGTATTTTATGGATTTTGAGTTTCTTAGGTGGTGTACGCGTTGCGCGTCGCGGCGCGATCCTTGGCTTTTCCATAGCCATTAAGACATTGAAAACTATCGAAAAAAAAGTCTGAGAGCTCCAGCTGCTAAATATCAATATTCGATGAAAATCTATCCGTTCTGAATAACGCTTAAATACCAAAACGGATAAGCTGGGTGACACCGTGAAGTTGTTAGTCATCAGAAATGAAAAAGGCGGGGAGGAAGGAAGAAGGTTCTGGGAAAGTGTTGATGTACATCTTTGGATAAGGCGACAGAAAAGAGAGCTAGAGAAAGAGAGAGATAGAGGGAGAAAGAGAGCCAGCGAGAAAGAGAGAGAAGCAGATATTCAGATTCTCCGGCTGCGCCCGGTAAAATGGATAAAAGAAGGAACATTCGCTGGGCCTGGGAGGGTGTGATGTGATTTTGGAGGGATCTTTGCTGAATAGGAGAAACCTTCTGCCGTGTTGCATCTACTAGGGGAATGCGAGAACATTCTGATTCCCAGTATCTTTTTGATTACTTCGGCGGATGGCAGATTTCTCTCTCTCTCTCTCTCTCTCTCTCTCTCTCTGTCTCTCTCTCTCTCTCTCTCTCTCTCCCTCTCTCTCTAAAAATATCGCTCCCTCTCCGCGCCCGAGACGCACGCCACCTGGCCCCTATTCAGGGCTTCCGAATATCGATCAAATTGGGGATTTCTACATGGGATTTTTGAAGAACAATTATTAAGACTTTTTAACTGACAAACAGAAGCCATGAATCCTCCAAAATAGTAAAGGATACGTGGGCTCCAAAAGTTTCCGAAAGGTTGGGAATTTCCCGGCCAAAAGAAGGGGAGGGCGGCTTCTTCAAAAATTGACAATGTGCATACATTTAGAGGGGAGAGAGAGAGAGAGGGAGAGAGAGAGACAGAGAGAGGGAGAGAAACCCACCCCTCGTGGCCAGCAAAGACCCGCACCCACCTACACCTTTAGAATTTGGACGGGAATAGCCTGGCGCCCACTTCTGAAGTCTTCTCTCTCTCTCTCTCTCTCTCCCTCTCTCTCTCTATCTCCCATTGGCCCCCTCCAAATCAACATCCGGTCACTGCTTTCCAGTCCTTTTTTCTCCTTTTTGACGTCCAGGTGACGCTAGACTAACCTTCTAGTTTCCTTAAGAATCCCTGCTAGCTTGCCCAAAAATTGAGAAAATAGCGCACGTCCAATATTTGTTTAGAGCCAGTTCCTCAAGAATCACTCCAAGTTGGCCTCCAAAAA